CGCGATTCATTGGTAGCAGCAGCAGCAGCAGCTCTGTGAGCGGCCCTTTTGCACAAAGATCAGGAGATGCAGCAGCGCAAGCTGGGGATGTGCAACCTCTTCGACCGGGTCTTTATCAACCCACGCCCAGATCCGCTTCGGAGCGCGCAAAGAAAGATGCCAGATTACCTGCTCCTTCTGCTTCTGTAGACTCGGGCTCGGAGGCGGACACTGCAGACGGCTCGTCGACCTTGACGCCAGCGCAACAGGCAGCAAAGAAGCGCATGTTCGGTTCGCTCACGCGCAGCACGCGCAAGTGGAAAGTGGAGAGGTTATTGTGCAAGAGGTTGGGCGTACCTGTTCCTGACCATGTCGGGGGGAATGAAGAGGAGGAAGAGGAGAATGTGGCGGTGGAAAGGCATGCGAAGAGCACGGATTCGGGCTCTACGTGGCATGCTCACAAGGCGAGCATCGAAGCGCTAGCGCGCGCTCGAGCTTGGGAATCCGCCGGCTCCTCTGATGCCTCGAAACGAGCAGATTTCGGTGCTGCGGGGGAGCAAAAGGAGACCAAGGACGACGATTTGAACAGCAACGATTTGAATACGGTAGGAGTGGGAGAGGATCAGAGGCAGATGAGAGAGCTGGACTTTGTCAGACCTGGTTTGGACATCTTTAAAGCCGTCTTTGCTTCCGACGAGTCGGACGACGAGTGGGAGGAGGAGGAGGAGAGGAGGAAAGGTGCGAGGGATAAGCTTCTCGTCGATGCTAGGTCTAGCAGCGATTGCAAGGCGGCAGCAAGTGGTAGGGACAAGGAGGAGATGGCTAGAGGAGAATCTTTGGTAGAGTACAGCGACCAACCTCTTGCTCCCACTTCTTCCAGCACCGCTGCCAATATGGCGAAGACGACAAACGCATCGCTCTCGTCCGCTCCCGGCAAGGTGCTTTTCAGACCACCTGCTGCTGCTGCTGCTGCTGCTGCTGCTGCTGCTGCTGAGGGGCAAAAGGAGAAGAAGAAGACGAAGAGGAAGGAAAGGGGAAAGAAGGACAGGGCAAAGGGAATGCTCACTTTTGATCTGGACGAGGAATGAGCGCCGCTTGGACAGGGTGGGGTGCGAATCATGCGGGCTCGACATGGTCCCTTTCCATTGCCCGCACCGACGTATTTGCGGGTCTTTTGGCGCAGAATGACCAACCTCGGACTTGCCCCACTCGATCTGTTTCACACTGAAATAGTCATCTCTTTCAAGTTTGAAAAGCACGACACCCCCTGCTTGGGCAAGTGCAAAGCAAATGGTACTTGCATCCCCCCCCCCCCCCCCCCCCCCCCCCCCCCCCCCCC